TCGGCCGATCTTAAACGGCCGCTTCGGTAGAGCGGCCGAAAGTTGGCGTTTTTCAACTTATGCAGGCCCGCTTCACTTGCTGTGGAGCTCGACGCTTTGCAATCTTTTCTCGCAGCGAGCACGCACCGACCAGTTCGGCAAGCACACCGCCGGCGGCTCGCTCGCCACTCCACTGCGGTGCATACTTGCTGCGCTCTGCACTAATCGGCTATGTATTAAAAAATCTTATAAAAGAAATTTAAAGCATTGATATTCCCATTTTTTTTTCTCTAATTTAGCAATGCAAATCATGCAATATTTTAATTTCTTTATTGTGAAAAATAAACGATATTAAAAATAATTTGGATGTCTGAAAACTATTAAAAAATATTTGGTTAAATATTTCAATTTCAATCAATAATGATAATAATTTTGACAATGAATACCCCAAATAATTTATGAGTGGAAAAATGTGCACTATTTTTTTTTACAATGATTAGAAAATTTAGAATTTTTTTTTTTAATTTAAATTCTCTTTTCTAATAATTTTATTGTCTCCAATAATTATTATCCCTAAATTAAATTATATCATTTTTTTTATTAAATTTCAAAAAAAAAAAAAAAATTCAATTTTCCCAATCAAGTTTCCCAATCAAATTATAGGATATTTTTTTATTTTTTAAATTGTTATCTTATCTTTTTTAAACGTTTGATATTATGTCCTGACAGTTGGAAACAATAAAAATTGGTAAAATTAAAAGAGCGAAGTAAGTTTTTTTTAAATATATTATTTGCGCCAGTCAATTTATACAATGCACAAAAAATACAATGCACAAAATTAATCACGGCAAATAATTGTCACACATGTGAAGGCATTCTATGGAATGCTGAAAACACAAGTTTGAAGTGCACCAAGCGCACACAATGAACTTTTTACTTTGGCACAAAGGAATTTCGCACGTGGTTTTGGTTGAAAGTGCGAAGCAGTACTGAACTGGGGTCAAGTATTTTGGGCCTCTTTCACTTATGTAGCCAGGCTTAAAAAATGCATAGGTTATCATCGACTCGAATCGGGGTGAGCAAAGCTGGTGATACGTGAACGAAATCAACTTTATGCCGTTATTTCGGGTTTGGATGGGAAAGGGAATACTATGCATAAGTATTTCATCCTCAATAGTACGTAGAAGCTTTTTAAACGGACCATTAACATTAACATCCAAAGGTTGGATTTTTCCAGTAGTGCCTTCTGGAATGAGTCCTATTGTCACATTTAGCCCAAACTTTTCTTTTGCTATTTTGCATAGTTCGTTTACCTTCTTTTTCCAGCCACACCAGTGGTCAATCAAAAATCGCGCAGTTTTCCCCTTCACATTTGGGAAAATGCAATTTGTAAAAAGTTCCTCCACTTGTGACCCCAACATTTTACCACTTGATGAGCAAGTTACAAACAAATTTTCGGGCCGAAGGACAGTTTCTTGCACTCTTACTCCGAATTTACCACCGTCTTCTTTCAAAATTAAATAAGCTGGTTCCCATAGCCGACCACTTGCATCACAAGCAGGAACAAGCGTCCAAGAGTGAGTCATACTATTTGAGCTTTGAATACACTTTTCAATCGTTCGTTCGCCTATTATTGCTAAAGTGCGCGCAGAGTGCATCTCCCTATTGATCCCGACATGGTCTAGATTGCCGAAACAAGCCCTTCCTACCCGAATGACCTCGCCTTTTTCATTTTCAACAAAATCTGTTGCGCTTTTCAGAATATCATCTTTTTCCCTGACTGATTTTCTCGTCACATATTTGTTGATTTTTCTTCCTCCAACTTTAAAACGGCGTTTAAAGTTCTCTAACCAAGTTGGTGAGGCACAAAAGTCTTTCGTGGATAAGCCATGTTTCAAAGTGGCAGATTCAATTGCCCACTGCCTTAAATGTCTGCCTTTGATGATTTTCAAATCTCCTCGAAACTCGAGAAATTTGGCGTAGACGTCTGATTCAATGTCTTTTATATGAGATTTCAACATTACTCCCTCATTGATATCAGTGCGCCATTGGTACAATTTTCTAATACATAGTTTTGCATTGGGATACTTTTTTTGCATGGATGACAATTTTCGAGTTGTTCCACGCCTTGGTCCATATTTCTCTTCAGCACACTTATCCTCATACTGCCAATGAGCAACAATTTCCTTTTTTAAGGAATAGCTTAGGACGTGCCGTTGAGGTTGCTGTTTTGGCAAGTCGCTCTCCTCGACACCAATCAAAAAATCAAGCTCACATTCATCGCAATCGCTCTCAACGTCTGTCAAAGCATCAGACTCAATTGACTCTTCGTCAAGACAGTTTGAGGCATCTGCAATTTTTATTTATATATTAGGATAACAAATTAAAATTAACAAAAAGTATAGCAATAATAAATATAAATATTTTTATGTTTTTTTTTTAAATTTATAAAGTTACAATAAAAATAAATGTCTAATTTATTCTTTATTCTTTTTAATTAATTAAAGTTGTTTCCATAAAATTTTAATAAGTGAATTTACTTTGGTCATGAATGTCAACTTCATGTGCGACTGCTCTTGTAAAAACCGTCCTTTTCTTCCTTATATTCTCAATTTCAGCCAAGCCTGTTGATGTCACTACTTTGTTGCCTATGACAATGAGAAAAGAAATAATAACAAAATAATCGAAATTTAATTACTCTACTATTTAATTTTTTATTAATTGAATAAAATTTGAAAGCAATTTTATTAAATTAAAACTTCTAAAAATCTTTCTTCTCACACGCTTCATTTTTCATTCAAAACAATCGTTTTCATGGAAAATTATTGCGTCTTTAATTAGATGGAGAGCGCAAACAAATTGGAAAAAATGAATAGCCACTAATGTTCAAGTATTATGTAACAACAATTCTACCAATTTTTTTGATTAATCCTTGATAAATCCTGTAAAATTGAAATTATTCAATCAACTTACTACAATTGGAATCTTCTGCAGATGTCCTTGCATTTTCCAATTGCAATTCTTCTATGTTGGTCTCTTCATTTTCTTTCAAGGTCATTTCATTTTCTTTATTTGCCAATTCTTGTAAGATCGCTGCATATGAGAGGTCAAATTTTAAATTAGTTATTTTCTGGACTAAAATTTTTAAAACAGAAGTTATTGTAAAACTTATATTTGAAATGAATTTAAAATATTTTACGAATATTAATATTATAAGAAAAATTATTGCCAATTATTTTTAGTTTTGAAATGCAATTCAAAATTACAACTAAAAAAAATCTTTTATATAAAATTATTAAATAAACTCACTGCCTTCAGAGTTGGCAGCAGACGTATCAACATTATTTTGGAATTTCTCATCTTCCATGCTGGTCTCTTCACCCTCTTGCAACGTCACTTCAGCTTCTTTGTTTGTTGGTTCTGGTGAGAGCCCTGCATATGAGAGACCAAATTTAAAATGAGTTAATTTTAATTTTTTTTATTTAAATTTAAATTCTGAGTTATTACAATATTTTCTTATTATAAATTCACATTGTTTTTATAATAAATATTTTTATAAGAAATAAATTACTTACTGCATTCAAAATAATTTTCATCAAAAGAAGAAGGGAACAGCTGTCTCCTGAAATTGCGTTCATTGCGCTCGAAGTGGAAAGTTTTCTGGTTGTGAGTAACTAGAAAATAAAAAAATTTTAATATTGATAAATCTTGCATAATTCAAAATATTAATTAAAAATTTTAAAATAATAGCTCCTTCAGCATTATTAAAAGTTAGCATTAAAAGAAAATTCATAAAAATAATCCAACCCGCAACTGTCGCACATTCATTTCCAGGCGGCTCGTAATTCTCATGGAGCTCTTGATGTTGATTGTGAGACGAAAAATCTAAAAAAAAAAAATATAAATATAAAGAAGGGCTTACTCTATGCTGGGATTTATTAAAGTTATATTTTAAATTTTGATTCACATTTTACCTTTCACGCCATTCAAAATACAAAGGTATTGGAAGAATTTATCCGTTTCCAGGATGGATGCTTGCAAAAGTAGTTCTGAAATATTTCAAAATTAATATTTATTTTGACGATTTAAAATATTAATTTGAAAAATAATTTCTCTACCTGATAGCAGAACGGCTAGACTGATTTCGCGATCGTTAGGCACACCTTTATCCGATGAATCAAATTTGCAAATCAATAAAAGCTCTGCAAGTACAGAGTTTACACAAACGAAGTTCATGGTGCAGGTTTCATATGCACACTGATGCCTGCAGTCGAATAACAATGCAATTTTTGCTCCCTCAATTGAAAGAAATTTTTTGCATACTTTAAATTGTAATAAACGATGAATGAAATTACTCCAAATATCTTCCATTCCTCACCTGGAATGAACCCAGCGCACAGTCTACACATTTTTATTTTGATAATTTTTTTTCATTCGACCCGCTAACCTAGTGAGATTAGCAACAGCAAAAATATATATTTATTATATAATTATTCAATAACAAAGCAATCCATAGCATATGTAATTTTTTATTTGGAAACAAAATATTAAACATTGCATAAGAAGATTATTATTATTTTCGAATTTGTTTAAAATTTTCAAGTTGAGATTTTTTCATTTTATTAACACATGAAATAAAACTATATTAGAATGTTGGAAATATTTTTTAATAGCCGATTAGTGCAGAGCGCAGCAAGTATGCACCGCAGTGGAGTGGCGAGCGAGCCGCCGGCGGTGTGCTTGCCGAACTGGTCGGTGCGTGCTCGCTGCGAGAAAAGATTGCAAAGCGTCGAGCTCCACAGCAAGTGAAGCGGGCCTGCATAAGTTGAAAAACGCCAACTTTCGGCCGCTCTACCGAAGCGGCCGTTTAAGATCGGCCGAAAATAATTTTTTTGGATCATCAGGGCAGCGCGGAGAGTCGATTGGTGTAAAAAAATCGTTAACTTTTTTTTGCGTGTTGAAAGGGTTTCCTTGTGAGTGCAAAGTTGGTGAGCGCTGTAGTGCGAGCGTCTTTGTTCCAGGAGAAATGGTGATCTCGAGCGACAAGTACGACGTGCAGACCACCAGCAAGTCCATGTTCGAGGTGAAAATGGTTCTGAACATCAGGAGTCTGGCCAAGGCGGACGTCGGCTCGTACCGCTGCATTGCCAAAAATTCGCTTGGCGAAGTCGAAAGCAGCATCCGACTCTATGGTGAGTTCCATTGTTTGTCCTTTTTATACTTTATTTCCTTCACGCCCCGATGTATTTATGGACGGTTCAAAGCAGCACCATAGTTTTTTTAGTCACTCGCGTGCTGGCATAAAAAAAAATGGAGAGACACTTTGCTGCCAAGCAAAGTGAAACAAAAAGAAAGACCTTCTATAACAATGTGACTTGTTAATTTTTTTTATCTAGTAATTAAATTTTCTGTTTTTGTAATCTTTCTTAATTCTCTTTATCTTTTGATGTTCGTTTTTTAGTGGTTTCTCATCATTTAAAAGTACCCTAAATGTTTCAAGTTAGAAGAAGTTTTAAAATAAATTTACTGTTTTTTCGTTTCATTTATCCAATTAAATTTAGGAAATCAATTTACTACAAGTAAACAAAATAATAATTGTAAGGAAGGAAACATTGAATTGTTAGACAAAAAGACACCACCAAAAGCAAAGATTTTTGACATCAAAAAGACCCTATCTGTTGCGGTGGGCTTTGAATGACTGATTGAATTAGCTTTTGTTTTGTCAGTAATCACAGGTTATATAGTGACAGGAAATCGATTTCTTTTTTTTTTAAATTAAAATTTTCATTTTCGCACTGATTCTGATATTGGATCTTTGAGAATTATGTCATTCATTTTGATTCCAAGCAAAGTGAGACTGAAACCGTTTTTGATTTCACATCTTGTCCATTTTGCGACTCTTACTTTTAAATTTTTGTACTCTAATTCACGTCTTTATATGAGTTGGAAGACAATTTTCTTTTCCATACATCTAGCAAATTTTCCAATGCAAACTTAAAAATTTAAAAGTGATTTTTAAGAGTTAACTAATATTTTTATAAGGGAAATTTTTAATTTTACCTTATTATGCTTACTTGACATTGTTAGTTCAACGCGGTTCAACGTTTAATGTTTGATTTTGCATTTTTGCTGTAGTTGCGTCAGAGAGTTTTAAATAATAAGCAGCAAATCAGAAGTTTTGTTATTTGTTTATTTCAAGTACTGACGATGATCCACTCCATTCGTATTATCTCGCGGCAATCGGGCTTGTGCGTATCAGATTAAATGGATTGTGTTTTTGTGTGTGTAAAAAACGCTGCGTCGCCTCTCACTTCCGCGAGCAATGCAATATTATATACGCATCAGGGAGTGAATGCCCACTCACTTTTTGCTCAATCAAAATTTGAGCTCGCGCAGCTGTAAAAAGCCGACCGAATAAACTCCGCCGGCACTTGTGTTTATCGCTTTCATTTTTTGTCTTTTCGCTGCTGCTGATTAATGAGCATTTTAGCCTGTTATAACTGCGTATGTACGCGCTCGATTCACTCCCAAACGCACATCATGCATACAGCACCCCTGCCGCGATAAATACAACAGCATCAGGCTCGGGGTTCTGGTTTTTTTTTTGGAACCCTATGGTGATTTGCTGTATATTTAAAAAAAAAAAAATGGTGGAGTTTCTAATTTTGGTGGTCAGTTGCCATTTTATAGTCTGTTAATTTTGTATTCACCCATAATTAAATTAATGTATTAATATAACCTTTACCCCAGTTCTAATTTAAAATGACGTAATTGTTACAGAAATACTAAAATTACTAATTTAATTTACAAATACTTAACATCCTTTTTTGTGATATTAATTTATATAATATAAAGTAAAAAAAAATTATTTTGTATTGCATTACATTTACATGATTTAAATCCTCTAGTAATGATTATAATTCCTTAAAATTAATAAAATTTGCAATTTAAAAAATAACATTTAACAGAATAATACAGCACATTTTTTGAAGTTTTCGTAAGATAAATAAATAAAATTTTTTATCGAATATTACTACATTTTGTTTATATTTATCTTGTTTATTAAAAATATGTTTCAAGTTTCATATTTTATATTTGTTAGTAATTATGTAATTATTGAATTGTTTGATAAAACGGCACCATGCACCGCTAGCTGGTTTTTTGATAAAACTTTCTAAATCAATGATCTAGCTTGGTTGAATTTTTTCTCACTATCTATAAATTTTACATATAAATTTATTTTTAAATACAAAATTTTACGTTGTTATATGCGCAATAAAAGTGCATGGCGCAGGGATTTAATGGTGACAAACTCATTCAATCTGGTGCACCCTGCCCGCTTTTCGTGATTCGGCCCTTGGGCGATTCAGGTGCAAAAAGCCGCACCATTAAACACAAAATTTTCCTTGATTTCAGAAATCCCTGGACCGACGCGCAAACCGACGCCAGGTCGCTATGTGCCGCCGCACTACGACGAGGAGGACTACCCTGACCAGTTGGGTTCCGCCGAGCAGGAGGCGGAGGAGGAAATGACCAACAACGTGGCCGACCGGGTTCCAACCAAGGGTGGTCCGCACCCCACGTTATTGCCACCGGGCCGCAAGAACAACCACGTCGTGTTCTCCGAACGTGGCGAAATGGAAATTTCTGAATCCTCGGCTCGAATGGAGGTGGCGTCGCTGCTGGGCACCGTCGCCGCCCTTCTGCTGCTCCTCAAGGTCTGACTCTTCGGGCATATCGTGACAATAAAAATCAATTAAGTAAACACACGAAGCAAAAATATTCGGATCGACGGCGTTGCTCTTTGCCTTAATGTAGCAATAAATTATGTAAAAAAAAAGAGAAAAATATGAACTCGGGACAAAAAAGGGAGTGAGTGAGTGTTTTCATTGTTGCTTAAGTGTGCGCCATGACGCCTCGTCGATTACCCATCTGCATGCATATGTATATATTAAACTGCTGTGGTCGCCGTTTGCAAAACTCTGTGACGCCTGTGTGTGTGTGAAATTTAAAAGCCCCCTGCTGAATGCCAATGGAATAAAACCGCGTGTGCGATCAATTTTGTGTGCTCGCTGGAGACAATTATATTCACTGCTGCAGTATAATAGAGGAGCGTGTTGTGTTAGATTGCTGGTTGGGTTTTTTTTTTAGCAAAAGGGAATGAGTGCGGAGAAGAGAGATCTCAATATTTATTAATCTGTGCGGAAACATGTGTACAACGAATTGTCATTTCCAATAATTATATATCAAAAGTTATGAAAAATTATTATCAGAAAGCAAAGTTATCAACCTTCGCATATCTAAGATTTCTTTTATTCTGTTTAATACACATAATTTGCATAAAATATAGTAGAACCTGTGGTATATCTGTCAAAAATATTTTTACATTAGAAAATTTTTATGTTTAAAATATTTTATATTCTATCCTTTTTTTGTGATTATCTCTAAACTCTTTCAGAAATGTATTTTTTGTTTTGTTAAATAAATACAAATTAAGTGAATATAGGCTGATTTAAAAAACACCTCAAAATAATATGTACGCTTTTTAAATCTGACACATCTGATTACACAGGTCAAGATTTAAAAATTAAAGAACATGGATTATTCGAATATTTTAAATAGTTGATGAAGCACTACTTCTGTGATCTTTGGTTGTGTGCAATTAATCCGAAATGTATTTATTTAGTGTTTTCAGTTCAATATAAAGACTTGTGAATGCATGTTATAAACTGAATTGTTCAAAAAGATGTAATCCCGCGAATACAAACTCAGAATATGTGTATATAAATAACCAAGGGAGGGAGACAAAGTGTAAAAATAAAGCAGAAAACAAGCAACCTCCAATAAATAAAAATGTGCGACAGAAATATTATAGAGAGCTAAACCAGCATCAAACTCTACACAAAAAGCCCAAAGCGTATTATATCTCTGTTAATTATCGATACACACCCATTTATGTAATCTCCACTGTTGTATGATGTAAACAAAGAAGTAGCCCCTATGCAGCGAAATTTTATGATTAAAAATCGCATTGCAATTAGTATGAACTTGTTATTTGCTATTTGACCCATTGCATCATTTTTGTATTCATAAAATCGTATTTTTGCTAGAAAAAAAATAGGAAGATATTTTGTTATCTTTAAAATGCAATTTTTCACATAGCACGTAGCCTTTTATATAGCAATAATTTAAAACGTAGCAAATCTTAAATACTAAAAAAGGAAAATGGCACTATGATGAATTCAGATTATTTCATATGAATCATAATTTTATTATTTATTCTTCCCAGTCAAAAACAAAATTTAAAATGTAAAAAAGAAAAGGGTTAGCAGATGTCTGCTAAAATGCCTATGATAAAAAGAGACTTAATTGGCCGCCGCGGTAAACCCACAAATATCAGTTTAGAAAAAAAAACATGAGCGGAAAAGGCTCCATAATCTTTTCTAAGGGTATTTTTTTTCTAGGATTTTTTTTTATCAAATTTTTAAAATATGAAGTTTTAACAAAAATAGAAAGCCCGCAGTTAAGCCCTTTGAATGAGACCAGTGCCACCAGTGGAACAGGACGCAAAATTGAGGCGCCTCAATAAAAATGGGTATATATTTAGCTGAGCAATTAACGGACCAGCAGATAGTACAACAAAGAGAGAACATCTGGCCGCGTCATTACGGTCGTAGTTAAATAGGTGAAATATGCACTGGGCAAAAGTCTGCTCTCCCATTTACTACGCCTGCTCTATATAGCTGGAAAATAATATTACGGAGCGCGTGTTTTGTCTCTCTCGTGACACCCCATAGTCTGCTGGCGCATCGATTATTTTTTGCACAATACAATAAGGAAGCTGCCAAGGAGACAATCGGAATTGGAAGGTGGCCAGTGCGTATGTTAGGGTCAAAAAGATGAAGTCATCTAGAAATAATGCGCGACTGAGAGAAATCGGTAAGGAATGGCTTTTTGGTGTAAGTGACAGCACCCCTCACGCGTACACGCCGCCAACGCCACGATTTATCTTCGCACCAACCCTTATGTAAGCGCATGTTGAGAGATGAGACTCATTTTCCATCAAAGCTGAGAATTTGTTTGAAAAATATATAACAAATTTCAATGGGAAAAAATTAAAAAGAATTTGAATATAAATTAATGAAAGCGCTTATAAGAATAAATGATCATTTTTCATAAATATTTAACAAATGGTTAAATGTAAAAATAAAATTATACACTCAAATAATTTTATTTACTACGCTAAAGCAGTATGAAAATTTAATTGTATATAGTTAGGCTCAATATTTACTTGAAAACATTTTAATAATATTTAATGCAAGGTAATACTTAATTTGAGTAATATATTAAAGGCTATATATTGACAATAGATGATGAAATAATTAAAAAAAATATATATATATAATACAAAACAAACTGGTTGTGGGAAAATAAGGTTGCTCGTCGAATGGGTCAGTTCTTCAAATTTTCTTTTTACTTCAAATTTTGAAATAATATTCTATAATTAATTATATCCATATCTGTATCTATACAATAGTTTTGTGCGGAGTTGCCGACGATGCTGAAGGCGCAGCGCAAAGAATAATGTAAAACTTTCGAACAACTTATAGCTTCGCGCACTTCGCCCCTTCCATTCCATTTTTGCTCCCCCTCTCCCGTGCGCAGATCGCTACGGCGCATAAAAATACACAAAAATTTGATTTCGCGCTCCCAAGGTATAATTTTTCGCCGGTTTTTGCCAAATTTTGACCAAATTTGGGGTCGAACATGTGATTTTCTGTGACCCCGGGATATGGCAACAGTCAAAGCAGCCATGGCCACCGACCCGATGACCCAAATGAACCACTACCGGTCCTATGTGACCATGCTCGCCGACTCGAGTGCCAAGGACGAGATCAAATTGAAGGCTGCACAGGAACTCAGCGAGAATTATGAGGTAAATTAAGTCACAAAACAATGAAATCAGTCTTTAATTTTGTTCCTCTATTCCAGTTGATCGTCAACTCCCCTCAGTATTTGATGTTTTTAGAGCATTCAATTAAAATTTTCATCAAAATTCTAAGTGAGGGAGAACCCCACTTTATCGCCGAGTACAATATTCAGGTAATTTTGTTCATATTTACTTGTTTTCCCTTAATAGTTTCACTATCAATACGTTTTTGATTATATTTTCTTTTAATCTGACTGTGACACAAATTTTAATATTTCAATTTTTCTTGCAGCAAGTCCGAAAGTTGATCCTTGAGATGATCCACCGTCTTCCTACCAACGACGCTCTTCGGGTCCATGTGAAGCCTTTGATCTCTCTAATGTTCAAATTGCTTGAAACTGAGAACGAAGAGAATGTCCTAGTCGCTCTAAGGATCATTATCGAGCTCCACAAGCATTACCGACCAACCTTCGGCCCCGAAATCCAGCACTTCTTGAATTTTGTCAAATCCATCTACCTCAATCTTCCTAATCATCTGAACAAAATCTTTGAGCCGAAGCCAATGCTGCGCGTCAAAGAACTAGCAGAAATTAATTTGGAAGCTCATCTGGCAGAAACGTACACCGTAACAGCCATTGTCAGCGAAAAGAAAACAGCAGACGGAACTCCGATTACGTACAACCTGATTCCGAAAGCCATTCACTCCCTCAAAGTGCTTCAGGAGCTGCCGATTATTGTTGTACTCATGTACCAGCTTTACAAGAACAACGTACAGAAGGAGGTGAGTTAAATAAAATAATATCGAAACTCGCTTACACAACACAAAATTAATATTTTTGTGTGTGTAAATGATAAAAAAAAATTAAAATTTTTATTATGATTAAACAAAATGTTTTATTATCAAGGTTGAAGAGTTTGTTCCTGTAATCATGAGCACAGTGACGCTGGCCCCTGCTCAGAACCACAGAGACAATCCGCACTTTAACAAAGAAGTCTTCGTAGACTTCATGGGCGCCCAGATCAAGACCCTCTCCTTCTTGGCTTACGTTGTTCGCATTTACCAAGAGACTGTCAGCCAGCACAGCAACTTGTTGGTTCAAGGGGTGCTCGGCTTGCTCACTCTTTGTCCACCGGAAGTTACACACCAGAGGAAAGAGCTTCTAGTTGCCGCCAGACACATTTTGTCAACTGAGCTGCGAGTCAAGTTTGTGCCTTACCTAGACCAGCTCTTCGATGAGAAAATTTTGCTTGGTGAGTTTGAGTATTTTGTATTTTAAAGAATATTTTGCATTGAAAATATTAATCTTAGGTGGGGGATGGACTGCCCACGAGACTCTGCGGCCTCTAGCGTACAGTACCTTAGCAGATTTGGTGCATCATGTGCGTCACCTTCTGCCAGTTAAGCACTTGGCCAGCGCTGTGCATCTCTTCTCAAAAAACGTTCATGACGAGTCGTTGCCCACCAACATACAAACCATGTCTTGCAAATTGCTGCTAAACCTGGTTGACCTAATACGCCAGCGGAGCGAGTCGGAAAACAACATAGCCCAGGGACGTCAGATACTGATGCGAATGTTGGAGGTCTTTGTCCTCAAGTTCAAGACCATCGTCAAGCTCCAACTTCCGGTCCTGGTGAACAAGCTGAAGCAGCCAAAGGAGGAGATTAAAGTGGCCGACACAAAGGACATCGAGAAGTCAAAATTCGGCTTCCCACCGTCGCAATCTCCAAACTACAATGTTGCAGACTGTCGAAGTCTTGTCAAGACTCTGGTCTGCGGCGCAAAGACAATTACCTGGGGCTGCGCAGCCTGCAAAACAACAGAGACTGGGCCCAAGTTTCAGGCTAAGGAAACGCTTGTTTTTATAAAATTGGTCAAATGGGCATTGCAGGCTCTGGACATTTACACTCTCGGAGCTGCTCAAAGTAACTATTTAAAAAAAATTTATTTTCTAATAATTAATGTTCATTTTTTCCAGCCAATCCAATGCAGGCTAGAGCAACAGCCATTCAAACTGTCCGTAGCAAAGAAGAAAGAGAAGTTCTAGAGCACTTTGCTGGTGTCTTCACCATGATGGACTCCCAGACATTCCAGGAAATTTTCTCCACCTGCATTGACTACATGGTGAACAGAATAGCCAAGAACTCGGCCTTGCAGATAATTGGCAACACCTTCTTGTCCAACCCTACAACTTCGCCTATCTTTGCCACTGTCTTGGTCGAGTACCTGCTAAAACGGATGGATGAGATGGGTCACAATGCCGACAAGTCAAATCTTTATTTGCGACTCTTCAAACTGGTCTTCGGTTGTGTTTCTCTATTCCCAGCTGAGAACGAGCAAATGCTCAAGCCACATTTGCATCAAATCGTCAACAGGGCAATGGAGTTGGCACTCAGTGCTCGTGAGCCATACAACTACTTCCTGTTGCTTCGAGCTCTTTTTAGGTATTTAAAATTTTTTCAACGTTATTTCAAATATTTGATATAATCTCAATTTCCTATCTAAAATTACCATTTTCAAAATATTATTTAGAATTTCGGTCCTTTTTAAAATATATCAAACAAAATTTAGACCTTGAGGCAAGGGTGGACAAAATGGCGAAAGCGATCTTCGATTATGATTGCACCATTTAAAAAAAAAGATGATCGCAATCGCAATCACAAAAGCAGGTAGATTGCATGGGATCATTTGCGATCGCGTACAGCAATTTTGGGAGAATTTTATGCTAAATCTAGAAGAAAAACTGTCAATTTTAGGTATTTGATGGAGAAATTTCTAAACAAAACTTTTATTTACAAAGTACATTTTTGTTATGACTCCTTGTTCTGAAACCCAAATTGATTAAAAACCGTTCGAAAGTACGTTTTTCTAAAATATATTCGATCTCAAAATTTGAGATTGCGTTCATCTTTTCCTTGAGGTAGAATCATTTGAGTTAGTCCCAGGTTAGTCCTAATTTAAAATGTTTCAATATTTTGTTATAGGTCTATTGGTGGAGGAAGTCATGATCTGCTATATCAAGAGTTTTTGCCCCTGCTGCCACATTTACTTCAAGGTCTCAATGGCCTTCAGAGCAGCCTCCATAAGCAGCACATGAAAGACCTCTTTGTGGAGCTCTGCCTCACTGTCCCAGTGCGTCTGAGTTCCCTTTTGCCTTACCTGCCCATGCTGATGGACCCTCTGGTCTCGGCCCTCAACGGCAGCCACACCCTGATAAGTCAAGGTCTCCGAACTTTGGAACTGTGCGTCGACAACCTGCAGCCTGACTTCCTCTATGAGCACATCCAACCCGTCAGAGCTGACCTGATGCAGGCCCTGTGGCGCACCTTAAGGAACCCTGCTGATCAAGTAGCTCATGTGGCTTTCAGAGTGCTCGGAAAGTTTGGTGGTGGCAATCGGAAGATGATGATTGAGCCTCAGAAATTGGAATACAGACTGTCGGATGTGAATGACCCAAGCATTGTGGCCTCCTTCCCGGAGTGCAAGACCTTGATTGCGCTGCCAACCACAAAGATCATTGAGACGGCCTTCAACGCCATGAAGAGCAACACGACTGACCCATTCTACAGACGACAGGCCTGGGACGCTGTCAAGTGTTACTTGGTAGCTTCTCTTAATTTGGACGATGACAAGGCCATGCTGGGCAAGTTCCTCATGCTGCCGTCTTTCACTGAGAGCAAGATTCCATCCCCAGGCACTCCTCCCTATCAGTCCACAGACAAAGAAGCAAGGAAGACCTTGCAGACAGCACTCACTGCTATGTTTGTTGCTGCGGCCATCAAGGACCTTCGAGCGCAGGTTTGTTAAATTTTCTCTCCCTGTATTTTCTATGCTGCAAGGAAACAAGGTATTTTATTTTTTCCTGCGAGAAAGATATTTTTGGTACATATTTCTCCTTTGGAATTATTAAATTTCAGCCTCACTTACTAAACTTTTTAATAGCAATCATTAATCTATTTTATTGCTGTATTCTGGAGCCAAGTCTTTTAATAATACTTTATTATTATTTATTCTTCTCGGTCAATACAAAAATTTTAAATTGGAATTGTGTGTTAATATTTCAGGTTTTGCCTTTCCTGGTTGCAATTGTGCGTCATCTGACTCTGGTGGCGGTTGCCCAAGAGGCAGGACCGCAGCGCCGGCAGGCCTCAGGAATGGATCCTTTGGTTCTGGTTGACGCACTTGCTGTAATAATGGGCCACGAGGAGAAAGAACTCGTCAAGCCTGGCAACTTGGCTTTGGTGCTGATCATCGAAACAAGCTCAAATGTGCTGGGAGGCAAAGAAAGGGCCTGTCGACTGCCTCTGATGCAGTATTTGGCCGAGAAAATGTGCAACCTATGCTACGAGCGAGCGTGGTTCGCCAAGGTTGGCGGATGCATTGCCATCAAGGCCATGGTGCAGCGAATGGCACTCAAATGGGTCTACGAGCACCTATTTATGTTCCTGCGGGCTTTGCTCTTTGTAATGATGGATCTCACGGGAGAAGTGTCCAACGGCGCAGTGGACATTGCTAAGAATCTGCTGGAAAAGATGCTTGTCACCTGTGTTGCGCCTCCGCCTGCAGATTCAACTGACAGGGACGATCTGCTTTCTGTTCAAAGGAAGAGCCTGGACGAAGTTACTCATGAGCTTACTAGACAAGTAAGAATAGCTATTTAATTTTATAAATTCTGAAGTAAAGTTAATAAAAAAAGTAGAAATTATTTCTATTTAACTCTGGAAATTAATGTTTTTTTGTGATTTATTTCTAAAATAACAACTTTCAGGTTACTTCGCCCAACACACTAGTTCGGCAGCAAGCGATGCATCTTCTTAAGCAGCTGGCTGAACTTCAGGGCACAACAGTGACCGCAGTCATGGAGCCACACAAGAACGTCCTGCAAGACATCATTCCTCCTCGACGACACCTCCTCCGCCACCAACCTTCACATGCTCAGATTGGCCTTATGGATGGAAACACTTTCTGCACGACCTTGACCCCCCGTCTCTTTACCATCGATGTGTCCTTGGATGAACACAAAACCTTCCTGAAAGACGTCATTTTCATCTGCGACCAGGACGACGCTAGCTTACTGAAAAATCCATGCTACAAGTCGCTTTCCAACTTGGTCACGATTAGGAAATCAGCCCTGAGAGCCCTTGCCGCTTGCCATTACATACCTGCCCAGAGAGATGAGATCTTTACTGTATTGTACAAGGCACTCGATAGGACAAATACAGAACTTCAGGAAACGGCCTTCGAGTGCATGAAACAGTTCATCTCAGGCTACCAGGTGAGATACAATTTTTTTAAAACAGCATCAAAATTAAGTTTTACAATAGTATAACGCTTATTTATATACTACATTCCTTTTTTACTTACTTATATATTTATATACTCCTTATTTGTCTACTAGGTCGATGTATCCAAGGTTCATGCTCAAATGAGACCTCTGCTGTGTACTTTGGGAGATTACCGCAACCTCACACTCAATGGCATCAAACGTCTCTCTTATCTCACTCTTCTCTTCCCGACCAGCTTCAACGAAAAGCTCTGCGAGCAACTTCTCCAGCACTTGCGTAAAATGCTTGAAGTGTCCGTTGCCCCAGGTGGCAAGGTGGACACAGAGTTGGAGAAAATGGCAGCTATTGTGTCCATGTTCCACCAGATTCCAGCTGCCACAGCCAAGTGGTTGGACAAGCTGAGTAGAATTGTATTCCAAACCGAGCGCACTCTGCAAATAGAAGCCAGTTCTCCCTTCCGAGAGCCTCTGCTTAAATTTTTGCTTCGTTATCCCAGTGAGACCATCGTGCTGTTTTTGAATGATGCCAACATCAAGGAGCAACAGTGGAGCAGATACTTGGAATATGTTATCAAGCACAAGGATGGAGAGCCCATTAGGGAGATTCTGCAGAATAGTACTTCCCGTCTAATAGGTAATTTTTTTATTTTATTTTTTAAATAATTGCAAATATTTTAATTTATTTTTCTAATTAACAGAAATGGCTAAAGGAATTGGGGTGAACGGCTTGGCCTTGGCAGACCCAGACCGCAAAGAAGTGGTTCATCAAAGTGTCAGACTGACATTTGTACTCTCTAAACTGAACGAAGAATGGATGTCCGAGCAAGCTTTGCTGATTGAAACTCTGCTCGACATTTGGTGCTCAACAGAAATGCAGGCAGTAGCTGACAGTTCTGAGTACTGGCAGCAGCCAAGACTCTTGGTCAAGATCCTCTTGCGCTACTTCTGTCAGCACACAGACAACATAAACCTGCTCTTCCAACTTTTGAGAGCACTTTGCGGCCGCTACATGCCGGACTTCTACTTCTTGAGGGAGTTCTTAGAAAATACAGTTGCCCCAACATACTCAGTTGAATGGAAACGAAGCGCCTTCTTCTTATTTGTCGACCTGTTTGTGGATGCTCCAAAGAGTGGACAACACCCTCTGAGCCAGGAGCTGAAGGCCAAGATTTTACAATATATTCTCATCCCATGCTTCTCGTTCAGCTTTGAAAATGGAGAAGGTGAGACACTGATTGGATCTCCAGCTGCCCCAGAACAGGACAACTCCGATAATGTTGTCAGTGTCTTCATCAGTCAAGTAAGTTAACAGAAATTTTAAATAAATTCCCTTCAATTCTTCCAAAATTATTTTTAGGTAATAGATCCCGAAAATCCTTTTGCAAACGCGGACTGTGTTCGGATCCTACTGCTGCAATTTTCTTGCCTGCTGGTCGAGCAAGCCTCACCGCACATCCACGACGCGGCAAACAAACGGCAGGGTAACAAGCTTCGCAGGTTGATGACCTTTGCTTGGCCATGCCTTCTTGGCAAAAATTGTGTTGACCCAGCAACTCGATACCACGGACACTTGCTGCTTTCTCACATAATCGCGAAGTTTGCCATCCACAAGAGAATTGTTCTCCAAGTAAGATATTATCTGATATTTTTATTCAGTATAGGAATAATTCTGGAATAATTTAAACAAATTTCTTACTTTTCTAGGTTTTCCATAGTCTTCTGAAGGCTCATGCACTGGAAGCAAAAACAGTGGTTAAACAAGCACTGGAAATTCTCACCCCTGCCATGCCTGTTCGAATGGAAGACGGAAATACTATGCTCACACATTGGACCAAGAAAATTATTGTTGAGGAAGGTCATCTCATGCCTCAACTGTACCACATCCTGCAACTAGTTGTGCGTCACTACAAAGTTTACTATCCCGTGAGACATCATTTGGTCCAATATATGGTCACCTCCGTACAGAAGCTAGGATTCAGCCCCACGCTTGCCATGGAGCACAGGAAGCTTGCTGTTGAGCTTGCCGAAGTAGTGGTTAGTAAATTAAAATTAATTTTCAGTGTACATTTTCTTAATAATTTACTGATATATGTATAAGATTGAATGAAAAACTAGGATTATCTCTTAGATCTTGCTTACAAAATAAAATTTTGAAATCAATTTTTTCTGTAGGTTAAATGGGAACTACAGCGAGTGAGGGATGAAACAGGTGAAAGTCCAGCCACCCCTCAGAGTGCAGCAAGCATTGGAGAAAAACGACCAGCTTCCCAGTCAGACGATGAGCCGGCTCGCAAGAGGCACACATCAGGCAGTCTGCCCAAAGCATTTGAAGGAAGTTCCAAACCCATAGAAAAAGTTCACGCCGATGCCATTCTGAATGTCCTCCTTCGCCTCGCTTGCCAAATAAATGACAGCCAGGGAGCAAACGCAGCTGCAGTTGCAGCAGGCCAGGCTTCACAGGGAGAGATTCTGTCCAGACGGTGTGTTGCTCTCTTCAAAATGGCCCTGAAACCTGACATGTGGCCTCACTGTGACCTGCGACTCATCTGGTTCGACAAACTTCTCTCGACCGCTAATGCAACACCACAGCCCAATATTGCCAACATTTGCACTGCTCTTGAGTTGCTGACTTACCTCTTGAGTGGAGTCTTTGTTCGTGAGCAAATTCTGGCAACTTTCAAGCCTTTGCAGAGGGGACTGGCTGCTTGCATGACATGTTCTAACTTCAAGGTAAATAAATTATTTAAAAAAAAAATACGATTTCAATTTATACATATTTATAAATAAGAAATTACTTAAAACATATAATAACTTTACAGGTTATTCGCCTTGTTCACGGGCTTCTTTCAAGACTCATGAGCATCTTTCCAACTGAAGCTGCAACTTCTCAAGTTGCATCTCAGTATGAAGAGTTGAATGCTCTCTACGCCACCGTCAGCCGGGTGATATTCGAAGGGTTGGAGGCATTTGACAAGAATCCAAATGCGTCTGTTTCAAGTTTGTTTGGAACCTTGATGCTACTGAAAGCAGCCTGCATCAGCAATGTGTGCTACGTTGACCGTCTGATCTCACTCTTCATGCGTGTCCTGCAAAGAATAACAAGGGACCATTTGACACCGCAACAACAAACTCAGCCTGGTGCAGGAGATAATAACAGTCCAGTGGCCAATGAGATGCTGATTGTCAGTCTGGACCTTCTGAAGGGCAGAGTAGGCGTGATGGGAGTTGAAATGAGGAAGAGCTTCATTGGGGGCGTCCTTGTCGGCTTGATCGAGAAAACTCCTGATTCGAAAGTGATGAGGGCCATCATCAAAATGATGGAGGAGTGGATGAAGAGCAGAGACCCTCAGGTGATCAACCAAGGTCCCTCCTTGCGAGAAAAGTCGATACTGCTTGTTAAGTTAATGCAGTACACAGAGAAAAGATTCCCAGAAGATGCTGATCTGAATGGAAACTTCTTGGAAATTGTCAATTTCATTTACAGGTAAAAGTTTGCTTACATCATATTTTTTCTTAATTTTTCTGCAACAATCATTATTTGAAATACAAATAACCACGCCTTTATTATTTTGTATAATTCATTTCAACTTATTTAATTTGTTTTTCAGGGATGACACTCTAAAGCAGACAGAGCTTGCCTCAAAACTAGAGCCAGCCTTCATGAGTGGACTGAGGTGCAGCCAGCCAGCAATTAGAACTAAATTCTTTGAGGTGTTTGATGCTAGCATTAAAAAACGTTTGTACGATCGGATCCTTTACATCATCACTTCTCAAAATTGGGAGACTATGGGCCCACACTACTGGATCAAACAAAGTGTTGAGCTACTTCTGGCCACTGCAGCCCCACACACTGAAATTCGCACATCAGCACCTTCAGTTGTGGTCCCCGGAGTTTGCAACTCGATGACTGAGGACAAAGCTGCAATATCCAGCATCAAAGATGAGCCAGTGGATGCGCATGCTCAGGAAGAGAAATATGAAGAGATTGACTTTGAACTTGGCGAGGATGAACTACGAAAGCAGGAAAACTTGGAAAGGCCTGATAGGCGTCATGCGATTCGTCTGCTCGTCGTTCGACAGACCAAGTTCCTCGAGTCGTGCCGTGAAATTAAAACCGCTCACTTTTTGAACGCCACCTCGCAACTTTGCCACTTTGAAGTAAGTCTTGCCGAGAGAATCTGGCTTGACTTGTTCCCCAGAGTGTGGAAGGTGATGACGGACAAGCAACAGACATCCCTTCAGGGAGAAATCATCCCCTTCCTCTGCAGTGGAGCTCACGTTATTCAGCGAGATTGCCACCCCAGCGCTTTAAACACATTTGTTGAATCTGTCGCCCTATGTGAACCACCCATCCCAATTACACCGTAAGTTCTTACTATGCTAATTATTCGTTACAAAATTTTAATACCAAATTTAATTTTCATTAGGTGTCTGATGACCTATCTTGCTAAAACTCACAATCTCTGGCATCGGATGGCTTTAAATCTGGAGAGACTTGCGTTTGATCCCATCTATGCTGCCAAAATGATTGAAGAAAAGCCTGCTGACTGCTATGACTTTGAACCGACTTCTGCTTTAGCAGTGCCTCAGAAGGAGTCAATGGACGCATTATCAGATCTTTATTGGAATCTCTGTGAAGAAGATCTTTGGGCTGGTCTCTGGCAAAAGCATTCTCACTTCAAGGAAACCAGTGTGGCCATTGCGTGGGAGCAACAAGGCTATTTTGAGCAAGCTCAGGCCACTTATGAGGCAGCAATGAAACTGCTGAAAGATGAAAAGGTCATGAGCACACCACAAGCCCAAGCTTCGATCCAAAGAGAATCTGCACTTTGGGAAAAGCACTGGATTAGGTATTTTTTCTTGACGTTTTTCACTAAATTTTAAATCTTCATTAATTTAATTTTTTTTTTTTTTTTTTATTCCTAACTATGTATTTCAGCATTTAAATAGTAAAATTATTGATTTTAAATTAACTTTTTAAATTAGGTGCTCAAAGGAGCTAAACCAGTGGGAGCAACTGCTGGAGTTTGGCAAGAGTAATGTGGGCAGCAATGCACAGCTCCTGTTGGAGAGTTCGTGGCGCGTTCCAGACTGGGCCCTCATGAAGGACTGTTTGGTCCAGGTGGAGCAGAACTGTCCTAAGGAGCTTCAGTGGCAACTGCATCTCTACAGAGGCTACCTGGCTGTATGCAACACAGACGAACAGCACCTCGGTCTCATCGATCGTCATGTGGAGGCCTCAAGTGCTCTTTGCATGCGAGAATGGCGCAGACTGCCCCGAGTTGTTTCGCACATACATTTGCCTCTTTTGCAAGCTGCACAACAGGTTAATTTGAAATTAAATTTTGACGAAGCATTTATAATATTCTTAAAATAATTAGATTATGGAGCTCCAAGAAGCTGCTCAAATTCACCAAGGATTCATTCATGCCCGACCAACCTCCTTCCATGACATGAAAGCCATTGTCAAAACGTGGAGGAATCGGCTACCAGTTGTTGCGGACAATCTCAGTCACTGGAGTGACGTTTTCACTTGGAGGCAGCATCAGTACCAATTTATAGCAAACCACTTCAGTCAAGGAGGGGAAAGCCAGCCTCAAAACAACCACGCTATAATAGGAGCACACTCTTCTGCGTCTGTAAGTATCACATGTGCTCTTTAACTCTCACATAATAATTATTTTAATAGGCCATCATCACCTTTGGCAAAGTAGCTCGCAAGCATGGCCTGGTCAACGTGTGTATAAACTCGCTCTCTCGAATATACACCATACCATCTGTGCCAGTGATGGACTGTTTCCAGAAGATACGTCAGCAAATCAAATGCCACCTGCAGCAAGGTGGACCTAAAGAACTGGCAGAATGCCTTGAGCTGATCGAAAGCACCAACTTGACCTTCTTCACGAAAGACATGACGGCTGAGTTTTACGCCATCAAGGGTCTTCTGTTGGCCAAGTCAAATCGCTCCGACGAAGCAAACAAGGCTTTCTCTGCATCAGTACAACTCTTCGACACTCTGGCTAAGGGCTGGTCTCTGTGGGGAGAGTATCTGGAAGGTGTGTTTGTGCAGCACAAAGATGACAAACAACTTGGAGTGGCTGCCATCGCTTGTTTCCTGAATGCTTGTCGTCACCAAAACGAGAGCAAATCTCGCAAATACCTGGCAAAGGTAAAAGATAAATGCAGATAATTTATGGACTTCTTATTTTATGCAAATGAGCATGTTTGTAATTGGCAAAAATTGAATCCTCAGGTTTTGTGGCTGTTGTCCTATGATGACTCAAGAGGCCTCCTTGCAGAGGCCATTGAAAAATACTCAACACAAGTTCCCCCTCTTCAGTGGCTGCCATGGATTCCGCAGCTCCTGACTTGCCTGGTTACTCAAGAAGGCAAAGTGGTGCTGAACTTGCTTAGTCAGGTTGGAAAAATGTTCCCTCAAGCAGTCTACTTCCCGATACGTACCTTATACCTAACTCTCAAGATCGAGCAAAGAGAGCATGTTAAATTCATCGAGAGTGTGGAACAGAAAGCTGCAGCCAGCAAAGCCAATGGTGACTTAAATTCTCAGGCATGAAAAACACAGTATTTTCTTAATTTATTTCATTTTAACAGATGGAAGTGGAAGTCAGCCAGAAACTAAGAAGCAGACCGAGAACACAATCCCCATCAGAGCAACCCCTCCGATGTGGCGCTGTTCGCGAATCATGCACATGCAGAGGGAAATACATCCCACCGTCCTGGCTTCTCTCGAGGGCATTGTGGACCAGATGGTTTGGTTCAGAGAATCATGGTATGAGGAAGTTCTGCGGCAGCTCCGCCAAGGTTTGGCAAAGTGCTATGCCCTTGCTTACGAGAGTCGAGGAGATGTCAACGAAGCTAAAATCACACCACACACGCTGAACTTTGTCCGCAAACTTTCTTCAACTTTTGGCATAGGAGAAGTGCAAGCAGGGCCTAGTGCACCTGGAAACACTCTGTACTCGGCTTCCTCGGAAAGTCTGGCCAAGAGGACGTTGGCCACCGTTCAAGATCCTGTGTTTCACAAAATGAAGGAGCAATTCAAGAAGGAATTCGAGTTTTCCGCACCAGAAACTATGGGACTGCATAATTTGATCAATAAACTCAAAAAGTGGATTAAGACTCTGGAAAATAAGGCCAAAATTCTGCCAAAGTAAGACAAAAATTATTTTAGTTTTGTCTTTTACTTACCTTTTAATATTTTTTTCAAGGTCATTCCTGATTGAGGAGCGATGTCGTTTCCTAAGTAACTTCTGTCAGCAAACAGCCGAAGTTGAGCTGCCTGGAGAATTACTTCTCCCTAAAGTATGTTATTTAAAATAAAAAAATTGCCCGAAAATGTTTAATTACTTTTTCCCTTTTAGCACGCACATTATTATGTGAGAATTGCCCGATTCATGCCAAGAGTGGAGGTTGTCCACAAACACAATGCTGCCGCGCGACGAATGTACCTGAGAGGCCACAACGGTAAAATCTACCCTTACCTGGTTGTGAATGATTCTGGATTGGGAGAGGCAAGAAGAGAGGAGCGTGTTTTGCAACTCCTCAGACTCCTCAACTTATTCTTAGGAAAGAAAAAGGTTTGTAAAATTATTGAATATTTGAGCTTTATTTTGTAAAAAAAAGTTGAAAGTTTTGTCGATTGAGTTTTGAACAGTTTTTATTATTATTATTTATGCCTAATATTTTAGGAAACGTCAAGAAGGTTCCTGCACATCACAGTGCCAAGAGTGGTCCCAGTCTCTCCTCAGATGCGTCTGGTAGAGGACAATCCTGCTTCTCTAGCGCTGATGTCTATCTTTAAGCAGAAACTCGCATCAAAAGGAATGGATCCTGATAGCCCAATTGCTCATTACTATGACAAACTGAAGGCAATCCAGAGCCAGGGTCAACAAGCAAGTCACCCAATGCTGCTCAACCTGATGAAGGAAATTCAAAACACAATGGCTTCACCTGATTTGCTCAAAGAATGGGCGCTCACCAGCTTTCCTCAAGCCACAGAGTACTGGACGTTCAGAAAAATGGTATATTTTTTATTTTCTATTCCTGTTATATATATTTTTTTCTTTTTTTACATAGTTTACTGGACAAATGGCTCTTGCTGGATTGATGGAATATGTTTTGCACTTAACTCGGCTGAACCCTGACATGATCTACATTCATCAAGACACGGGGCTGATCAACGTAGCCTATTTCAAATTTGACGTTGACGACACGACAGGAGATTTGATGGCCAAAAGACCAGTGCCATTCCGACTGACACCCACTTTGGCAGAGTTCATCACAACTGTTGGCATCAATGGACCTTTGACGGCGAGTATGGTTGCTGCTGCCAGGTGCCTGGCACAACCCAGTTTTAAAATTATCAACATCCTTCGAGCCATTCTGAGGGACGAAATGATCAGCTGGCACAAAAAGGTATAAAACTGTTCAAAAATCATCAAATAATAATCACTAAAGTAAATAATATTTCTTTTTTAAGAACCAAATGCTCCAAAAGCATGAGGAACGATCATCACAAGACTTGATGCCCCCGCCCTTGGAGGGAGAGCAACTGGTTGCCACAGTTTCGAAAGCTGCAAATGATATCTGCAAACGTCTCAATTGTTTGGCAAATCTTGAAACGCCTCAAGCATCTGCTACTGGCGAAGCACTGCCTCATGCTGACAAGCTTATAAGCGAAAGGGTACTATTTCCAAAATTTAAAACTGGTTTACATTTAAACAAAAATTTATTTTAATTCAGGTTGGAACCCTAGTAACAGCTGCCAGCAGCTCTAATAATTTATGCAGAATGGACCCTGCATGGCACCCTTGGTTATAAATTACGATTTTCTAAGTGTATTTATATCAGTTGTATGGCTGAAGTAATTTAAGTATTTTATAATAAATAATAATCGCTATGTGCGGATTTTGTGAACCAATTTCTGAGTTTATTTTGTCAGACATAAATCATACATAAAAGTAATTTTTCTTCAAGGCTCATTCATTTTCTTTAATCAGAAGGATAATTATTAAGATATTTAACGTCTTTCCATTCGCACAAACAGTTTTTCCAGTACTCTCCATTCTACACTTCTTAAGCTTCGGCTTCCACTGCTTCCATTTCCGTATCACTCTCGTGTATCTCTTCAACAATGTCATCCTCCAAACGCTCCTTCATGCCGGCAGCGTCGGCCCGAATGAGTTGCAGGTCTCTGTGCACTTCCTTCACGTCCCTCTGCCTTTCGATCTCGCGACCCTTCCTCAGCCTCTGCATCAAGAAGTGCGACTGTCTCTTCTGCTTGATGACCTCGACCTGCTTCATCGCCTCCAAGGACTTCTGCCAAACCTCGCGGTTGTACTTGACGGGGCAGTGTCTCCTCTTCTCAAACTCGAAGGACGGGTCGACGGCCAGCTCCTTGCCGACGGTCTTCCTGTACGCCTTCGTCCACTTGACCTTCCTCGGGTTCTTCTTCTTCTTGAAAGCGGCGTGGCACTTGGACCGGCAGAATTTGAAGATCTTGCAGTCATTGCGCACGAATTGAATGCCGTGGCCTGGAAAGATCCGCGAAGAGCAGAAATAGCACACCTCGATACGCATTGTGCCGAATTCGGCTACCGAGTGATTCGGCCGAAAATGTCGAGCACTTTGTTACAGACGTGCACGTGCTGTCGAACAAAACAAATCAATTTGGAATTCTGGATCTGACAAGGCTGCCAACAATTGCAAGCCATTTCAATGAAAAATTTTAAATATTCTCAAAATATGTTAATTCGGATGCAATCTACTTATTTCTATTGAAAAATAAATAATTAAAAACATTACATTTGTCCACATTAGTCAAGAAATCATAAAATGAAACTGAAAATTTTATGTTTGGTTTTTGGTTAGGTTGGCTTATGATTTGTCACGCTCACGTCTTGATTTTTCAAACAAAAGACACACCCCCCGAACACCGCCCTCGCCCTTTCAAAAGTTGATTTTTGTTGATTGGAATTACACTTAGCATTTTTTCACTTTACGCCCTTTACGGGGATTAGATATAACGAGATATAAGTTGTAATATTTTCAACGGAATAATTCAAAATATGTAAATAATATTCTAAATATTTCGAGGTATGTACGTAACTACGTAAATGAAATTATTCAATCTGAATAAATCATAAAATATTTTAATCGGCATATTTTGAACACGATGCTTTTTCGCATTTTGAATAAAAAATAAATGTGGATGTATGTGTATAACTTCTTTAATTTCATAAAATGTTTCCAAAACAGGAGTTGGAAATCGGTCAGATGGCTGAATATTCAGGAAAGGTTCGTTTTGGAGCTACAACTTTTTTTGCGAAGAGCCATTCACTTGAGTCATGTGGCAGCAATGGGCTTCCGCTCACTCCAAATTCAATCAGCATTCTGGGGACCGCTCAAAAACTGAAGACACTGAAGCACCCTTATTTATGCTCGTACCTGGATGTTATTAGAGGAAAACATGGTATTAATATATATTTGTAACCAAATTTTTAAATTTAAAAAATAATAATAATTACCTGGATTATTTTCATAACATTTTTCAGTTACTTCTGCAAATTTTTACTGTGGTGATATTTATTGTTTTAAACTAACACCATTTTTATGTTTTGCTAACATTAATTGTAATTTGTTTTGCTTCTAGAAAGAATATCAGTGGTGTGTGAGCTGTTCCCAAAAAGTTTGTCACAAATCATGGCTGGCACCAAAAAATGGGAGCCAAAAGAAATTATTCTACTTATGCACCAAATCCTCAAGGCCCTTGCTTATTTGGAAGAAAACGGAGTCGTCCACCGAGCGCTGGACCCTGAAAACATTTTGATAGGATGGAGTGGAGAAGCAAAGTTGTTTAACTACGGCCTCTACTATATGACAGGAGAGGGAAAGTTTGTCACTTTCCCGATTGGGTAAATACCTTTTTTTAACTGAATTCTGATAGTAAAATTTTATCTCTTAGGCAACCACGGTACCTTGCTCCTGAAGTTCTTCTTGCTGGTCCTCAGGGTTCATCTTTGACATCAAATAAAGTTGATGTGTGGTCTTTGGGCATGATTGGGGCTGAACTTGCACTAGGCGAGGCACCTTCGTCTCCACATTCGGCTGGAGGAAATATGGTTCAGTTGGCAAGAAGTCTGCGGAGAGTTCTTAGCTTGGTTCATTGTGAAGGATCTGTTTTGGAAAGACTGGCCAGGGAATCTGGCAACGAAAAAGCTTATGAGGTTGCTTGCAAAAATTAATTTATTCAACAACAGAGTCAATAAAGAACTTAATATTTTTAAGAACATGGATGGTGATTTAAAAGAAATTCTGGAAGCTTGTCTGTCTGTGATGCCTTCGAAACGACCTTCACCTTTGCAGCTCTTGAGCAACAAAATTTTTGAGGGATTTCAAGAGCAAGAATCTCTACTGAAAAGTCCTCTGAAACAGGTTTGGAAGCTTACTTAAGTTAAATTTGTGGATAAAGATAATAATATAAAATTAGACTTTGAGAAGAGACTACCTGGGAGAACGAAGTCTGCAAGAGATTTTTTATTTGTGGCAACTGGCAGGAGGTGACGTTCATGGGGAGCTGCGGCGCCAAGGTTTAGTAAGAAGAAGGCCTCCAATTTTATCTATTGGAAAGTGAGTTGATTCTTTTTAAACTCTAATATTTTAATTAAATTTTATCTGTAAATCCAGCCTAGTTTTATTGGAGGGTAAACATTTTGGTGCTACTCGAGATCCAGCAACTTTGTATGATCCCAGAGTTGTGCCTCTTCCCATGGAAAGTTTGTACAACCGACTTGAGAACGTTCCCCCTGAAAGTTATTTCCCTCTTATTGAGACACCGTAAGTGAAAAATTTGTTCTTCAATATTTTTCTGAAAACATGGTTTATTTTCAGTGAAATTGGATCTTGGGGCCCGAGTGCTGAAACATGTTGCTTGCCTCTTGTTATTAGAGAGAGGGATACAGAATACCAATTCCACAGAATTATTCTGTTTGACCGCTTGCTGAAAGTAATTTATTAATATTGTTCCTCCAAGATATTTGTTTATTTAAAAAATTTCCCAAAAGGCTTGGCCTCATCAACACGCGCGGATTCTTAGGGAAGCCAAACAGGATGTTCCCCCATTGTACAGAGCTGCAGTTTGGGCTGCATTGCTCAATGCAAAAGGTGACATTGAAGGCCAGTATGTATCTCTTGATAAAGAGACACCCACTTCAACTGATAGACAGGTTAGGTTAAAACAACAAAACCGATGCATCGGTTTAAATTGAAACAATATATTTCAGATAGAGGTTGATATTCCTCGTTGTCATCAGTACGATGAACTGCTCTCTTCTGCTGTGGGACATCTAAAATTTAAGAGACTGCTGAAGGCGTGGGTGGTTGGCCACCCTCAGTATGTTTACTGGCAGGGCATTGACTCTCTGTGCGCACCATTCCTCTATCTGAACTTCAACAACGAAGCTCGAGCTTATGCATGTCTGGCAGCTTTCGTTCCCAAGTACTTGCAAGGATTTTTCTTGCAGGACAATTGGGCTGTTGTTCAAGAATATTTGGCTGTTTTTGCCAGGCTGACCGCTTTTCACGAGCCTGTCCTGGCAATGCACATGAGAGAAATTGCTTTCGTTCCCGAACTTTTTGCCATTCCTTGGTTCCTCACCATGTTCTCTCGTAAGTAAGCCAACACACAAAAACTTTGAATTTGGTAAACATAAAAAAAATCATTAATGATTGCAGATGTATTTCCCCTTCACAAAATACTGCCGCTATGGGATAGGCTGCTGCTGGGAGATTCATCCTTCCCACTTTTCATAGGCTTGGCGATCCTGCGCCAGTTACGAGATACCTTGCTATCTTCTGGGTTCAATGAATGTATTCTTCTGTTCTCTGATCTTCCGGGTTAGTTGTTCCTATCATTTAATATGTGATGGTTTACTTCAATGAGTTATTTTTGAGCAGATATAGATATTGGAAAGTGCACAACAGACTCTGTCGCTCTGTATTGTGCAACACCCAAAAGCGCTACGTTCCGAGAGCACAGCCTTAAGACTGAAATTCTAGACACCCCAATGGTTATTTCTTTTAAAATTTTATCTATAAAAAAAAAAAAATTATTTTAATTTTCTAAAGGACGTGGAAGCTCAATCGATTGCAGAATTGAAGGCAGAACTTTGCCCAAGGATAAGTGGGAGGGATTTTGTTGAATTATTGGAGCCGACCAGAGATAAAAACTGTCTTCAAATTGTAGACATTCGCTCCACAGAAGAGTAAGAAACATATACATTTTTTTCAATAACAGTAATATACACTACCAAAGTTTTTTAGGTTTAGCTCAGTTTCATTCATGAAAAGTGTTAACATTCCTTATGGTGATGGCGCCAATGAGCCTGATTTGACGATGGTCAACAATTTCAAAGGCAAAATTTCTGTCATCGTAAGTTCAGACGTTGAGCAAGCTGCAAAGGTGTGTTGAAATAACTCGTACACTTACTTTACTAACATTATTGAATCATCTTCATTTCTAGTTTGCAGAAATATTGCTTGAGAATGGAATACCCAGGGTATGTTTGCTGCATAATCCCTTGTATGTGCTTACACACTGCAATGAGTTGTATCTAGTCCGTCAGCAACCTTAGCCAATATTCCTTATCATATCGCCTATTAATAGGCCATTAATCAGAAGTCATGTATATTATAAACTGCTTTTTTCATTCAAAATAAAACCATTAAGCTGGTAATAAATTTGAGTTTATTATATTCGTTAACAAAATAATTGGTTTGTTCTTTCCCCCTCCCATTTTTATGAGAATAAATTCTCTTATTATCTAAATATTACAAATGTATTGAAAATTATATTTTATTTCAGGGCATATATCTCATAAATCACTTCATTTATTTAATTTCATCTTCATCATTCCGTTTTATCAACAAAAACTTATACTTCACAAGAAAAAAATCTTAACATTATATCAAGCAGCCACAAGGTAGCACTTTCACATTTAATGTCCGAGTGTGAATCAGTTTGAAATCATAGCGTGCTTTCTGCTCACAATAATTCAGTTTTATATTAATGACAAGAACACATTTTTTCAGACTAAAAGCAACTTTTCCACTAGAACATTCAATACAGTCTTTTTCTTTCTTATACAGTAAACTTGATTTTACATATTCTTTTCAACTCTTCGCAGCAATTAAAACAATGTGATTCTATTCTGCTCGTCAAAGCCAGCAGATTGACCTTGTGTTCTGATCTTGAAGTTCTGTCCATTGTAGTGCATTTTGTTTAATCCAAAGCGGACAAACATGTGGCACATGTCTCCCTGAGTGGCAGTGCAATGAAGTGCGTCAGTGGAAATTCCCAGACAACCAGTAACTGCTGAAGTTCTCATATGCACTGTTGGTGGCCTTGCAATTCTTAAATAATTGGACCATCAGATTAAGCTTCATTTTAAATTAAATATCTTTACCTGAGTTCACCGTCCAGGTACTTGATGATAACATTGCAAAATTTCCAGACATGAAAGCCCTGGGCGTCAGTGTAAGATTTGGCTCCATTCATGGCTGCTTCGGCCTCATTTTTGAATTGAGAGCCATGAGGGGAGGTGTCGTAGAAGACTGGGAGCGAAATGTCATTGGTGGAGATCTTCGGCAGTTGAGTCATGGTAGTTCGAGTGCCTGCAGAGTCCATGGTGTAGGAGAAGGACATGTCACTCGACTTGAAGGATGACTTGTCCGGCCACAATTTGGCATACTTATGGATGCCGTTCTGCATGTCCCAAGCCATCAGGAGGGCAGTTTCGCCTTCATGGTGCACTCTGCCCATGGGGTGCATCACAGCAGTGGCCAAACCGTCGTGGTTGATTCCAATGGCAATGTGAGCCTGTGGAGAAATTAATGCTTGCATTGCTCACTTTTCAACAATATTTTGCACCAAACAAAATATTTGATAAAAACTAATGACGTATTTTTTTTTTTTTTTAGTATATTCTTGTTACTGTGAAATATTAAAGATTTTGCAACTTTTAAATGAAATGAAATAAAAACATGTTCAGTGGTTTATTAATATACCTTAGGATTAACAACTCGAATGGCACCATTGATAGATACATCGACTTGCATGCCTGTGCCAAAGCTGAGTGAAAGGGTGCCTTGAGTTGTCACCCTGAGAACACCATTGCTGCTGCCATTGTAGAATGCTTTCAGGTACTCATCATAACCACTCAGGAGATCAGGAATGCTGCTGTACGGAATTTGAACACCTGAGGATTCTTTTGTATTTGTCCAGGCGCCATCTTCTTCACTCCAGGCATTGTTCCTTGCAACGTTCTCTTTGTTCTCGTTGTCTGGACCATGGTCTCCACTCGGAACCCTCAGCAATGATCCACTATTGTTGTTTCGCAAAATCTCAGCAGGGATGTTGATCTGAAAATTTTAAATTCTTACCAAAGAACTTCAATAGTATATGATGTATGTACTTTTCATGAAAATTCTTTGTAAATAATTCATAATTTCCCCTACACACAAAACTGATGTGATTTAAAATCACATAAATATTTAATGAATTTTGAATTTAAACGTAAAAAGAATTTTTAATGCCGGATGCTAGTTACCAAGCTGGAACTTGCAGAGTTGGAAACTTCGCTCGATGACGGCAGAGTAACAACGAAGTTGTTGTAGGAATTGGCGCATCTGATGCCTTTGAATTCGGGCAGCTTCAGCAATCTCTTGATTTCGTCGTATTTAATGAAATTCTTTTTGCTCTTGATGCCTTCCATGTTGCGCGTTAAGAGTAGCAATCGTTCAGCCAGGTTGATTTAAAATAAAGAATAAAGAATTCTTCACTGACGGTTATACCAACAATCGAATGCCAAAACCTCCTCTCGATCCTTTTTCCTTTTTCCTACTGCTTCAACAATTGAAATATTTTAATTTTAACTGGACACGTTTTTCTCAACTTGCTGCGGCCCTGGTAAAAGAATTTTGTTGTAATCAAAACAAGAGAGAGACATGCATGTTGAGTTCAGCCGCACGCAAGGAGGCCGCACGCATCTTCAAAAACAAGAAGAACAAACTTTTGACCGTCCGACCAATCGGGAGAAAGAAAATTAAGGGGGCGTAACGCCTGGCTGATTTTGTTTTTGTTTACATTACATGCCGCATCGCTGTATGTACTCAACAGATGCATAATATAAGTTCTCAAAAGTTCTGTAAATTATATAATATCGCAGCTCTCGTTTATGTATTTGTATTCAAAAGTAGTATAAAATTCGCATAAAATCTCTGTAAGTCTCGAAGATGTCAGACGAAGAGGTGGAAAAGTTTGAAGTTACTGACTACGACCTCGACAATGAGTTCAACATCAACCGCCCGAGACATCGCTTGTCTAAGAATAAGCAAATCTATGGTTCGTTGCTTATTTTTAGATGTGTAATTTCAATCTAATTATTTGTATAGTTTTGGAAAATACATATTGTAAGTATTGATTAAACTTTTGTTCACACACAACACAGGTATTTGGGCAGAAGACAGTGACGATGAGGCAGGAACTTCTTCATCTAGAAGGCCAAGCTTTAAGCCAACAAAAAAGAAACAAAGCTACACAGCACCTGTCAGTTTTGTAGCAGGTGGTATTCAACAGGCTGGCAAGAAAAAGGCGGAAAAAACAGCAGTGAAGAAGGAAAATGAGGGTGAAGAAGACGAGGAGCAAACAGAAACACAGGCCAATTCATCAAGGTTGATAGAAACCAATATTTGATATTCAATTTGCATTAGTTAATTATTAACCATTCTATTTATGCAGCGAGGAAGAGCAAATGCCCAGAGCTGGCTTTGGAAAACGGTCTGGCTTGGGAGGAAGTTCAAAAAGATCTGGATTTGGTGCAGGGCCTTCCTTTGAGATCGATGGAGACATTGCAGGGCTGAGAAAGAGAGGTCCTGACATGGCTAGCAGAAAACTTATACAGAAAGGAGTGGGCAGCTGGGAGAAGCACACTAAAGGAATTGGAGCAAAGCTTCTGTTGCAAGTAAAGTCAATTAATATTTTCTCTTGAGTTTGTCTTAAACACTTATAAATTTTTAGATGGGTTACCAGCCTGGAAAAGGTTTGGGCCGCAATCTGCAGGGCATTGCTGCCCCAGTTGAAGCTGCGGTTAGAAAAGGAAGAGGAGCCATTGGAGCATATGGTCCAGAGACTGGTCAGAGGATAGCAGGTCAGAAGAAAGAGGAAAAAATGGACTCTGACGAGGAGGAGGCAAAAGAGTTCACTGAGAAAATGTCTCAGTGGCGAAAAGGAGAAAATGCATCAAAAAAGAAGTCCAAGGTGAAGTATGTCTATAAGTCTGTTGACCAAGTCATCGAAGAGGGCAAAGGAAAATTAGGGCCGTCAATCAAAGACTATAGGTAAACAAAAATGTGTTAAAAATGATATTTTTTAATCAAATTTTTCAGCAATTTGAGTAAGGTCAAAGTGATTGACATGACTGGCCCAGAGCAGAGGGTTTTAAGTGGCTATCATGCTATTGCTGGCCAGCACAGGCCAACAGATGATGACGTTCCTAAAGAAGAACTTGTCCATTTTAATTTGCCAGAACTAATGCACAATTTAGACCTTCTGGTCACAATGTGTGAGCAGGTAAGAGTTAAAATGAGTTAAAAACAAAAATATTTACTGGAAGAGTTTTTATTGTAGGACATTCTTGAAAATGATCGACGTGTAAGGACAAATAAAGACAGAAAAATTGTAATAGAGCAGGAAGTTGAAAAGCTTGGTGAAGTTATTGACAAGCAAGGAAAACAAATTGAAAATAGTGAATCTGCTCTTCAGCTTATTGAAAAATTGTGTGAGAAGCCTTTGTCGCTTGAAAAGGCAGCATTCTGTATCAAAGAGCTAAAGGTTTGAATTTACTTTTTATCTTTCCGCAGATCTTTTTACTTTTAATTATTTATAGGAGAAGCACAATGCCGAGTATGAAATATATGAAATGGGAACAATGGCATCTAATTTGATCAGCCCTATTCTGAGGGAAAAATTGAAGTCTTGGAAACCTCTTGAAGACCCCTCGCTTTTTACGTCGGAATTCCAAAGGTGGCAAAAAATATTGGAAAATGAAAAGAGCCACACTTTGAGCTCAGCGGCAGCCAAGGATCCATTCCATACTTTAGTTTGGGGATCTTGGACTCCCAGTATTAGGACCGCAGCAAGGTTATTCAAACAAATATTAAAATTATATTAATTCTAAGTAAAAATTTGTAGCAATTGGAACTGTCGGCAGAGCACCAGCATGATTGCTTTGATCGAAACATGGAAAGGTATTGTGCCAAGTTGGATTTTGAACTCGGTTGTGGAACAACTGGTCATGCCTCGCATTGAACAAGAAGTCCAGAACTGGAATCCTTTGACAGACATAGTACCTGTTCATCAGTGGCTACACCCGTGGATTCCTTATGCGAAAGAGCGGCTAATTACAACAATATATCCAGTGATCAGGAGGAAACTTTCTTCTGCCCTGACTGCTTGGCATCCATCGGACAATTCAGCACTTTTGATGTTAAAACCTTGGAAACAAGCGTTTCCTCAAGGAGACATGGACGCCTTCCTCATGGCCAACATTCTACCCAAACTGCAAACAGCTTTGCAAGAGCTGGTCATTAATCCTCATCAACAACAACTTGGTAGAATTTTAAACTTATAATTGAATCTTTATAATTTCTCTTTTTAATCTAGATCAATGGAATTGGGTGATCCAGTGGGAAGAGTTGATGCCGCTTTATGCTATGGCTACTTTGTTAGAGAAATTCTTCTTCCCGAAGTGGCTCCACGTTCTCACAATGTGGTTAACTCACAATCCTAACTTCGACGAGGTTGGGAATTGGTTCCGAGGCTGGAAAGGCATGATTCCAGTCTTACTGAGAAATCAGCCTGCGGTTAAAGGTCTTTTTAAAAAGACATCAAATTCAAAGTTTTAGTCTAATTTAATTCAAATTTTTAGCTAAACTTAATGATGCACTCCAGCTAATGAACAGGGCAGCAGTAGCTGTCAGTCAAAATCAAAGTCTTGCTTTCTTGACAGTGCCTCCACCACCACCTCCGCCAACTCAGAGAGAAGCGCACGAGGTTGTTCTCTTATTATATATTTTAAAGCAAATTTTCTACTATTTAAATTTTATCAGATTATGGCTGAAGCTGTCAGGACTGCAGGACAGATTCCGCACGGTTTCAAAGAACTGCTGCAGAAAAAATGTGAAGAACGAGGAATTTTGTTCATGCCGATCCCCAACCGATACCATGAGGCAAAGCAGGTCTACAAATGCGGAAAAATTCAAGCTTACATTGATAGGAATGTTCTCTTTGTTTGTAAAAGTAACACAAATATTTGGACACCATCTAATTTGCAAGCAGCGTTGGACGCAGCAGAGTAAATTTGGAGAAAAAAAAATTATTAAATAGAAGTAAATTAATAAATTAGGCGATTTGTTCACATGTCATAAAACGCAGCGCTTGGAATTTTTCTTTTATGCTCATCACTTATTAAATTGAATAAAAATCTATTTGGGCAAAAATTTTGGACCGCGGTGTGTTGAATGGACAGAAGCAGAGAGAAAAGTATGGAAAAGAAGAAACTTTTGAGCGCCTGCAGAGTTAAAAAGTATGCAGCCGGCATCGCACGCGTCACCCATCTCAAATCAAACTGTTGGGTTTTGGGTTACGCCCTCTTCTTGCATCTTCTAAAAAGAAAACAAGCAGAAAATCAGGTGTCAGGTGCACCGAAAATCATTCACTTCAAAGGACCGCAATCAATTTGCGCGATCATGGACTGGCGAAGCAATCAATGGGATCACGAAGAAATAAATTACTTCAGAAATGGTAGTAATAAAATTACTAAATATATTTAAATTAAATATTAATTAAATCGTTTTTCTCCGGTTTTTTTCCTTTTAGTTCCACCACCAGCAAACGTGCCGCAGTTCAACCCTAACAACTTTACCATTCCGTCGTGTCAAAATACGTCGTCCTTCTCGTCTTTTAGAAATGATGAATTTAGATCTCCAATGGCTGACTTGGACTATGGAGAAGGGCCTCCGATGGAGCGGAAGAGAAGAGTCCCGTATCGAGGCCCGGCGCCTCACCGAAACCCAGCCCCCGGTCCAATGGGTTTAAGTGGGCCGTGGCAGGATGGACCTGGTGGTGGTCCACCCCCTCAAGATTTCAGAAATAGACCGCGTGGATCTTTTAGAAGACCTGGTTTCGGACAACCTACAAGGTCTCATTTTCCAGATCAGCATTCAGCGAATGATCAACATATGCATCCAAGGCCACCTCCACTGTTCAAAGATGCCCCTAAAAACAAAAAGGCCAGTCCTTACAATATGAGTGTCAACCCCTCTGGCAAGGTTGATGTTGCAGCAGCTAAGCAAAAATGTAAGGAATTGAAAACAGAAGTAAATTACTTAAAATTGAATTGATTCTTTGTGATTCTTTGAATAATTTTATTTTTAATTTAGTGCTTGAATCAGTCCTTAACAGTAAGGACATGTCTTTGCCAAAGGAATTGCTTGAAATGTTTAGCCCGCTGAAGTGTGACCTTTGTAACGCCAAAGTAAGAAACATTTTTAGTTTTGCGCACCAATATTATAAATAATGAATCCTTGACAGATGAACTCGACTGTTATGGCTAAGCTACACTATAGTGGGAAAACTCACGAAAAGAAAGTTCGGCAGTACATGGCTAACCACAAAGGACCGGAGAGTGAAGCCTCTGAAGCTAAAAAGCCAAAACTTAGTGATGAAAGTGGTTCAACAAAGCCCATTTTGATCACCGCAAATTTGAAACTGGAAGAATCTGAAGAAAGTACCTCTATCCCTTCAAACAATCAGAGCAATGGTTCACTCGAAAAGCAGTCAGCTGTAATTAATTTTAGTTTTTTTAACATCAAATTTCTTATTATATTCTTCAAGGTGATTGAAAGTCAGAAAATGGAGTGTGTCCATTGCAATGTGTCGTTTGTTTCACCTGTACAGGCAGCTCAGCACTTTATGAGTAGAAACCATTTTAGGAGGATGAAAGGACTGGATCCCAAAAATGCAAAATATTACAATCCTGAAACTTGCGAGTGGCAAGTAAAGTAAGGAATATTTTTGTGTTTTTATACGGGAATGCAATGTAATTATTTTTACAGGCCAATGCAAGCTCCAGCTGAGGACCCTACGGGGAGATTTGGAATTGGATCTGAATTTGTGAGCCCCCCTGATGAGGTCGTCTCTGTAAGTGTGATCATGCCCAAAGCGCCTCCTGACAAGTCGTTGAAGTAAAACAAATGATCTGCACTTCCACAAATTTTTATTTCTTGCAAAATAGGGTCTATTGTGATGTGTGCGACTGTTACACAACATCCCAAGATCAAATGCAAAACCACCTTAAGGGAAGTCGACATCAGAAAAAATGGGCTGCCAAGCAAAAATCTCAAGCTAATCTACCCCAAGGGATCTTTTTAGGTAGTTTTTGCACCTTGCATAATTATATCGAATGAAGCATCTGCAATTCTTTTTCCCATAGAGGAGCCAGCCCCACCAAAGGAAACTCTTCTCTCAGCAGCTTCAAAGGATAACAAGCAAGGTGTCAAAAAGCCTGGCACTGCTTCCGACATGGCAAATTTCCGAACTCCCTCTGGTAAATGCTATAACATAGGGGTAATTTTTATTTTAAACGAATCATTTTTACATTGATAGGAAATTACTACTGCTCTATTTGCAATCTCTCTGTAAACTCGGAGAGCCAATTCAAGACTCATTCAGAGAGCAAGAAGCACAAATCTAAACTGGCCACAATCAAGCCGGCTCCTAACTCTGCAGTGAAAATAGAGGTGAAATGGGACCCTCTTGCAGCTCCATCTGAAGACGCAAGTGGCAAAAGTTTCGGCTTGATACCTACCGATGGAGAGCCGGTTGCAACAAAAATGGAAAAATAGATCAAAGGCACATCTTGTCTTAGATTCCCACACGCTGTTAATTTGTATTGTTGTTTGTTGTGTATATTTTGAATTTTGATCAAGTTAGTGTGATGTATGGTGTTCCATATAAACTGCTAATTTAATAAATTAATATTGAACCCAGAGTATGCAAGAAATGTTTGGAAATTTGATATGCCTATAAATCACATAGCTGGTAAAACTCTCGGAAGGCAATTAATTGCGGAGGCAAATTGTTATCTGCCGACGAAAGGTAGACTTAATGAAACACATTTCACGGCAGTTATCCTCCCCCGTTGAATAATAATATCCCGCAGTAATAAAGTTTCAAATTACCATGCAATATAATACATTAGTCTGCGAGGAGGTGGAGGAACGCACACACTTGCACATCCACACACAGCTATTTTAGCACGTCACACAGGGTGCGATAAGAAAGTGAAACTCCTCTCTCTTTCCCCAACAACGGGTAGGCATTTTATCAGATGCATGCAGCCCTTGTTAGGAGGAGGCAGTGTGTCAGAGTGAAAAGAAAAATGCCTTCTCCCCTAACAAAGGTGGCACTGCGCGAAGATACCTCTACCCCTAACTACCGTTTTCCTTTTCCATATCTCTGCTTAAATCACCCTCCCAGTCTTAAAACGTCTTAAAGAATCACTTCCTTAAAACTTCCATAATTCAAACCATGAGTACAAATAATTATTTCTTTAAAAGGAATAAATATTTGCTAAATAAGACAGTTTACTTATTAAAAAAAATCATTTTCTAAAAAGGCACCAATACTCGCTATGCCAACGCCATGTTATTTCAAACATTAAGGTTTATTTATGCCAAATTTTTTTAATGCTGTTTGCTGGCTGATCTTTCGTGCGCCGTCGTCTCACAATCCGCATTTATATCGTGATATTTAAGTAATAATTTAATTAAAATTCTTTTTTATGTACATAGATGATATAATCTCATCTTCTTTTCAAGTTGACGCTGGATTGTAAAATGCTGATATGTAGCTTTTCACTAGTCAATACTGTAAACCGCTTGAGAGTAAATCTGTCGCGCGGATGTCAATACAAATTCAGCCTCTTGCGCCATACACTCTCTATTCATGTATGCAACAATTCCTCACAGTTTTAATCCAAATCCCCAACCATGATGACGAAGCCAAGGTTAAACAAAAAGAGTAAATTTTACAATTTTAAATTCGATTATAGAGTATAAGAGAAATCAGTTAAAATGATAAAATCAAGTCAATCAAAGAGATCAATATTGTGCGATTAATTTTTTTAATATTAATTTTTTTACCGCCTTAAAGAAAATTTAAAAATTACATTTTTTTTACAACTATGCTTACACAGAAATCAAATTTCGGACATTGTATTTAACATTAATTTCTTCACAATATTTAATTACATTTACAAAAAGCTACCATCATGCCGCAGGGCCGGCCAGAGAATTGTTTAATTATATTGTATACCCTCCTCTTGTTCATTATTCATTATATTGCTAAAGCTTTCTAATACCTCAATCACACATTTCTCATTTCCTCCCATGCTTATTTCGAACGCAAACTTCATTAGCTGCCATTCTCATCAGCGCTTTCCATACGCCACTATTCTCGAGACTGACTTTGATGTGGTCGAGCGCGCGTTGCACTATACGCGTGTGTCGGAGCTTTGTAATTATGCACGTTTGCTTTGAATGTCATACTCCCGACCCGCCGTATTAATGCGTATTTGTGCGGTTTGTTTATGGGCTGCAACTTCCTCATTAGTTTCCATATAATTCCGCCGCTTTAATTACGTTGTGTTTTGTTTGACAGCAAACACACGTAAAAACACGACAGGTTAGAAACAACCGTTTCAATGTAATATATAGGCTGCTTATGAATTTACTACTTTGATAACTTTTTAGGGTTAATCAAGGGAACCCTATAATCATATTTAATTTATTTCATATTTGTTAATGATTTAACTAACCTTTTTTAACCTCTTGTGAGATAATAAATGAATTGAAAATTTTATAATTTGCTCTCATAAATACTGTAAAATGAACTTTTATTCTAAGAAAGGGAACAAAATGAAAATAAATTTTGGGGGGGGGGGAGAGCACAAATTTAAATTTATATTTTTCAGTTCTTTTGCAGAAGAAAAAAAAACTCCAACGGCTTAATATTCTTTATTTAATTACTGCAGCAATCGTTCAACCCTTGGCAGATTATTTTTAATAACTGGCCCCTTGCTTTTTGTTCTTGCTTTCGCTGTACAGAATAAAACTTTCTGGTCGGCAAAAACAGCAGGCGCACAAATGAGTGCAATTATTTGGCCGTTTCCTCCTTGATAAGGTGCATTGTACGTCTGATTAATTGTTATTTCCCATATATTGTATAGCCCTCGGCGCGAAACAGACATGGTATTCCCTTTCCTTTCCGCCCTCTGCCGACCCCACGCGCGCTCAAGGCTTATCATTTTGTACGGCTTTCACGCAATTAGTCGAGAAAATGGCCAAAAAAGACATTCATTTATGGAACAGGCAGCGGAGGAGAGAACTTTCTTGCGCGCAGCTTTTGTTCCGGGGGTTTCTGCGTTTGATCAGAGCGATAGAGGAAACAATTTCGCTGCAGCAGTTGTTGCCTGCCAAACAGGGGCGTCTGCACCACAACATACCACAAGTTTAAAGCGAGAATATTTTTTTACAAGATGTGTGTCCATTAAAAATCAGCTTCACTTTTGTACTGACTAGCAAATCTGTATTTATTTTATGATGCGTAATCTTCAGAGTTTAAAATTATTGTTTATTTTATTTGAAAAATTGTAAAAATCGATAAAAATAACAGCAAGACAACATTCTATTAATTTTCTTTTGCCATTTCTAAAATAATAACTTATTGCTTTTTTTAAAGGTAATATATTTTTCTGGAAAGTAGTTTAAGTCATTGCGGTTTTGCACAACTAAAATAAAAACCATGATCAATAGTCGATCGAAATAAATAATTTTTGAGGATAAACTATATATAATTTTTTTCAGCTTAAAACTTTAGATACCAATTGAATAATTGTAATTCACTCAATCAAATCAAATTATAAAAAAATATTAAATATTATATTCCTGTCATAGGGTTTTATTTTAACAAGTATAAAACATAATGTTTATGCAAAGTGGAAAATTTTACTCTTTTCATATCAGAATAAATAATATCAGTGCTGAAGATACTCCAACTATTTATTTGTCAAGTTTATTCAATCAGCAAATAGTGGAAGAAATATTTTAAGGGTGTTAAATTCAATTATGCAATATTTTGTTCTCTATGTGCTGGATAGCGTGGGAGTATGTATGTATTTCAGGTGTGCATTTGGTGCATTAAAGATCCGATCCGCCACTGGCCCGTTCGTTAGTTGTTGGCACGGTTAAAATCTACTTGAGCAATACTTTTAGGGAGTAACTTCATTGCTCACGCGGCGGCAGAGCAAATTTAATAGGAGTGAAGGAAGTGAGGGTGCAATCTTGCAGGCTGCTCTTCTCCGGCCCGACGACAGATCTTTCTTCTAATGGCGCGCACACACACACACAAAGAAAGGGGGAAGAGACAAATTATTGGTGCGCTCTCGGCAAATGCGATTTGTCTGCCGCTGCATGTGCCAAACAATAATTTCTTCATAACTCTTCCGCGCACGGACGTCTTTTGTATAAATTGCGTTGCGATCATCAGTGCGCTCGATGGGCATCATCAGCGAAATTCTTTTGCTCCCGTCTCGAAAATAGATTAAAGATTCTTTTCGCTCGTTGTTTGAAGAGACGCTCTCTGTCTCTTCATTTGTCATCAGCTTTTGCTTTCTATCTCGTCTCCCTGCTCTTTCTCACTCTCTGGTGGCTGGTACGTTGCTCTCTTATTTAATATTGACGCGCGCTGGAGGTGGCATAACATTAAGGAGGGTGCGAGCACATCATCGCGTGTGGCGCCTGCGAGCGCATTTTGATGTATTGGCTTGATTCTGAATTTTAATTGCGCATAACTTTACGAAGAGGCCTCACGCGTGCATCGGAATGAGTTCCAACCCAAAAGGATCCCCTTTTGCTGATAAACAAACCTTATTGCTGTGGAGAGAAATGTGAAACATTGCAAAATTTACATTTGAATTACATAAGATGCGAGATTTTTTTGTAGATTATTGATTTTTCTAAAACATGGGGCAGAATTTTTAACACTGATATTAATTTTAATACAAAAATCAACAGGTTTCTTGCAACAGAATGTTTTAAAAATATTTGTACAAGAAATTATGCATTTATTCAGATAAGCAAAAATTATGATCATAAATTTTTATAAGAATTGCTATTTTTCTATTATTTAAATTTTAAATATTTTGGAAAACTTTTCTTTTACATCGGAGCAATATTTTACCATTTAATTTTTCATATAATTCAGCAACTAGTGCCGGAAAGTAATAAAGAAGTTTTTCCTGCATTGTCGCAGAGGCCGGGGTGAGTGCAGTCAATGATGCAGAAATTGGCTCCAGCTCGCTGCTTCCTCCTTCATCTACGCTCATCCTCGCCTCTGCTTGCCTTCCTGTGCATGTATGTGTGTTCCTTTTCCATCCCGCATCTGTTTTACTAGAGTACAAGCGACGTGCCTGTGTTATGTGTTGGTATACACTTTTCCCGTGGGGTGATCGAAAGGATGAGCTGATGAAATTTCCCTGCGTGAATGCTGTGCCGCCGACCCTGCTGCTGGAAAATATTTTGTCTGCGCGCACTTCCCCCCGTTTTATCCGTTTTTCTTTTTCTTTTCTTTTACCCATCGAGACCTCTTTTCATCACCTTGCTTGTCAACTTTTATTACTGCACACTTTTCACTCGAGCAAACTCGCTGCAAACAGAGTGTGTTTTATTTATTCCTTCCTCTTATTTTTCCACACCGCGCTGCGCGACTGGTTGCGGCATTTTTCGCGCTCCAAGAGAGGAAAATGTAAATGCGGGGATTTTAATTTACACTCTAATTACTGCGGATAAAGGATTATTGAGAGGAAACGCTGCAGTCGGGGAAATACGCCTGACTGCAGGATTATTTAGCTATTTGGATTCTGTATCAACTGTTATGCCTCAGACGCGAACTAACAATAAAAACTCATATTTCTCCATAGAAATAAAATTT